ATGTGCTTGACACAATGGATGTATGTATGGATTGTGATAAGAATTGTACAAGCCTCCAATAAAATGATTTTGAAAAAAAGATTTCTCTGCAATTTGCTTTTCTCCCACATATACACAATACATCACTTTTCCGAAGAAGAGACACAGAGCTAACTTGTCCTTTTAAAATAATTCATTGATCATATTGCATCATTTGGATGGAATACAATTTATTCAACCATCCCTCTTCTGCTGGAGATCAAACTGGAGCATGAATCCTAGGATCATCGAAGCAGTCAAGGTGCCAGGCTATCTCGATCACAGTTTCAGTCTGAAAATTAGTTTACATTTACTAGCCAGCGATCTTCACATACGGAGATGTTTAATGTTAGAATCGCCCAACCATGATAGTGGTATATTTTTCTGTCATCCGAATCATTTTCGGATAAGTAAACCAAGGGTGCAAGGATTATTAAATAAGTTGCTAAGGTCAAACTGACACAAGTACGTGGGTCCCAAACTCCCGCTCTAGCCTGACTCGTCAGACTGTGAACTGGAACGGACTCGAGATGACACCTCACAATAACTCCAAAAGGACTGTTCCCAGAAACATCAAGGCTTAGCCAATTAAGGGTGAATTTATCTTCGCTCCAAGAGCCATAAGCAAGGCCCTTGCGGGGGGATCTGTGTTCCACCCTCTGGAGTCTCCGAGTCAATCCAAAAACAACTTCCGGCTGAAAACATGACCCTCGAGCAGACGCTAAGCGAAAGGAAAAGCAACACACGAGTTGAAAGGATCTTCCCCAAGAATAAGCCAAGGTCCCCCAGGGCAACCCAGAAAGGGAAGGGCAGACGTGGATGCTGTCCACTGCAACGCAACCAGCAAGCCTCTGGGCGCGAGGCGACTCCTCCCATGCTTCGCAGCCCCCACACCAACGGGAAAGGGGCGCTTACCTGCAACCTGTCAATTTTGGGGGTGTTTCAAGCCCCTCCAACTCCAGGCAGTTCGTTACCACGTGTCAAGTTTACAGCATCTTCGACCCCTTTAAATCACCGCTTCCTCGACAAAGCCAATCGGGGGTCCCCGCGTCATGACTGGGCGCCAGTAAAAGCCAACGTAATATCAAAGGCGCGCAAAAGGCCTGGAGGCGGGGGAGACGGCCGCGGTTGCCAACGGTAACTCAGCGAACGCGTTGCGTCTGCGCAAAGCCTCCTGGGAATGGTAGTTTATTCGCTCCCGGCGACCGGTCTTCTTTGTGGAAGGGGAAACTACAACTCCCAGCACGACGTGGGAGCAGTCTTTGTCAAGGAACGGTTACTGGAGCTTCGGACAAAATCCGGTCCTGAATTTGGAAAATGCTGCTGACACCCCAAGGAAAGGCTGCCTCAAGGAAGAGGACGGAACTGAGTGGCTGGAAACGATTCACAAGAAAGCCGAGTCCCAAGGTGATCCCTATCGGGAGCTCTGCGGGGTCAAGCACCGGCCCGAGGCGCTGCCAATTCCCACCTACACTTCCTCTTTCTTTCCTCCCGGGTATCCTTACCTGGGCCGCCACTGCCCTTACAGTTCACGGCCAACATTGCCTGAGTGAAGGCATCTTAGGAACTTGGGGCTATGGGTACCATATAGCGTTGATGGGCAGCGCCGTGGACGATCTTGTTCCAACTAACGGTCCCGTCGTCTCCGTGCCTGTGCGGGATATGAACCCTGGTCCCCGCCCCGTGAAAGTGGCGAAGTACATTTCCTTTGATGATTCCCAAATCCAGAAGAACTGGTCCTCAGGCGGGTGAGGGACAGAGCAGTCTTCACATGAAGTCCTCTGCCTCCTGCCCCTCCCCTTTTTACAAAAAAGATCTAAATGAGCTCAGGAGGACTCGTGGGCATTGAATAGAAAAACAACTCATTTCATTCACAAGGGAATTTATAAATCCAAACAAATTGCATTCAACCAAACCCAAATTCCGGTTTTATTCATACGGGAATTTCAAAATCCAACCAAAATTACAAAGAGAGGTTCTCTTCGTGTTTCTCTTTGGGGTCTTTTCGCATCTGAGAACAAGAAAAGCTGATGATTCCATTTTAAACCTGAAGCATATGTAAGGGACAAGGGTAAAATCACAGTTACCTGGTGTGTGCTGTCCACAAGCTTCCTTTTTTCAACAGGCGCACACACAAATACTTTAAGTATAAATGTGAGTACCAAAATGGAGAGGCTGTTCAGCTTTCAGCTCAAGACGTTTCAACAGGTGTTTTCACCCTTTGAAGTTACACGTTCATCAGAAACGCTCTGTAGACATGTGTGTGGCCATTCTGAGGGCCTGGGGCAATTGGTCTATTCTGACATGCTATCTAAATAGTGTGCTGGGCATACTCCGTGTGATGAATAACTTGCCCTAGATACTGAAGCATGAAAACTGGTGTCCTAGAGAGACTTGCAAACCGAGTCTGCTCCTGTCACACATGATAAATTGGACCTCAAATAGGTGATCAGGGTAAACTTGATGAGAAGTCAAAACTTCGGGTAATTTCTTAGGTGTTTGAAATGAAGGAGATTTGCTATTGGTGCTCCGTGTTGCTGCCTAGAGTGTGAAAGGGTAAAAAAATACGGCTTCTTGAAGTTCAGTTGTATTTTAACAGGATGAACTTTTTTTTTCCACAGCGACAAACTTAGTAAGCAGCACAGCTGCATTAATTAGTATCTGGAAGAGTTTGGAAGGCCAAGTAGTATGCAAATAAAAGAAGGTATTATGCCTTTCCCATCTTTATGTATCAGCATGCTAGTTTGGATATTATTTATTTTAAAACCCACCTGAATTATTAGCAAAGCAAAAGACTTCTATTTGCTAAATGATTATTACAGGGAATTCTGCATGCATCTCACAGTTGCACAGTGACGAAAAGAAATGCCCTGGTAGTCTGATTTTCAATTTCAGATGAATATCTAGATGGAAGGATGTTGGGGTAGTGGTTACGCATTGGCTGCTAACCTCAAAGTCAGCAGATCGAAACCACTAGATACTCCTCAGGAGAAAGATGGGCCTTTCTACTCCCGTAAGAGTTACCATCTATGAAACTCATAGGAACAGTTGTATTCTGGCCTGTAGGGTCACGATCCGTCAGACTCGACTGATGGCAGTGAAGTTTGGTGTTTATTTTGTTGCTGTTTTCTGATATCTGGATGGAACTTTACTTGATCGCTACCTCATTTTCTCTTTTATACATTAAATGTAAAATTTAGCCCACACCTCTACCTACCTAGTTCTTATCCCTGTTCAAGATGAGAAAAGGAAACCTTGATCCAGCCTCCACTTGTAAAAAGGAGGTTAAGGAGAACTGAATAGGAGCCCTTGGGGCACAACTGTTGAGGGTCAAGCTGCTAACGAAAAGGTTGGTGACTTTAACCCACCCAGTGGCTCCTTGGGGGAAAAAAACCTGGCAATCTGTTTCCATAAAGATAAAACCAAGAAAACCCTCTGAGACTGCTCTACTCTGTCACATGGGGTACCTATGAGTCTACAGCTACTTAATGGCTCCTAATGATAAAAACAAGGAGAAAGACACCTGGCTCCAGCACTGGCTTCCTTGACTTGTAAACCAAAATAAAAAATAAAAAACACCCATACTGTTGATTCCAACTCAGGAACCCTCTAGGACAGGGTGGAGCTGCCCCAAGGTTATAAATTTTTACAGAAACAGATTGATATGCCTTTCCCCTGTGGAGTGCTGCTGGTTTCAAACCTCTGGCCTCTGGATAATTTGGTTAATCAGTGTTTGACTGGGTTTTCATGTAGCAGACCTAGTGTGTCCCTTCATTTTAATCTGGGGTAAGTTTAAAATACTGATGGGCTTACACCAGATCAAGTGAATCAGAATTGCTGAAGCTGTGTCGCAAGCAAGGGATGAACGCTTAATGATTCTTACATGGGTATTCTCTGTTCTTCTGTACCTAGACTTTCTGTTGAAATGCTGGGGACAAAGAATAAAGGACACTTTTTAATATACTTAAACCAGAAGATTAGATTGAAATGACAAAATCAATAGAGATATAGCTGTATATTAGTATTCTAATATTCTGTGTTTCTTTACAGCCTACCCTTAATCCTGACAATGTGGAACAGTGGGTGAAGGTAAGGACATTTCAAAACTAAAAAGATAAAGAATTGAGAATCAGACATCATCAGATGAAAAGGACGACTAATAAGTCTCTATTTTGCATATTCTATACTGTTTGTATTCCCACGTGACCTTATATGTTGCCTTCGTTTTTATACTTTTTAGTATCTCTTTTCACTATTTTGTTGCTTTTCATGAAACTGTGTGTGTACGAATGACAAGAAGTGTACGCATGCTGTTTAAAATGCCAGGAGGATACAATGAAGAAGGATTAGAGGAGCAGGGGAAGAGACAATTTGGGAGAGGATATGATGGCCTCCCTGAGATATAAGAGAGGCTGTGCTGTGGCTACATTGACCACAGAGACCATAGATAGAAGCTATGCAAGATTAGGCAAGATTAAAATAAGCCAATAAATTCACAACTACCTTCACTCAACAAAAACATCACAGTATTCCATGGTTTCTCAACATAGCCTCCATCTAGCTCTCTCAGCTTCTGAAAGTGAGGTTCCCATCTCAGTCCCTTCACGGAAGAATTTTGCATCCTTCAATTGACACCAAGTCAACACAGCAGTGTAGGCATCCTTGAAAGATGCAAATCATTTTCCTTGAATTTTGGAAACAAAAAAGAAGTCTGGAGGGGCAGCGTTGGCACCATAAGGTGGAAGGGGTAAGGTTTCCCAAGGAAATTCTCAGAGGACAGCTACCCTCAAGGAATGAGGGGTTGCATTGTCCTGACGGAAAACATTCACTGGTGCAACCTTCCTGTCTTTTCTTCACCATTGAACTTTTCCATTTTCTTAAAACTTCACCCTCTGAGTCCCTGCCATCTTTCTGTGTCCTCTTCGCCATGAATTTAACTTGCCCAGCACATCGCCTGAGAAGCCACTGATATGATTAGACTTTGCTCTTCGGATCATATCAACCGATCTAGACTCACCCCATTACACTTCATTCTATAAAATCCTCTTCATTACCTTGGATCTTGCTGAAAAGATTGATGGAAAGATAGATTCTTTGACCCAGCTGATCTTAGTGTTATGCTTTTGGTGCTGTAGAGCTAAAAGCTTTGCTAAGGGCAGGATGCTCAGTTAAAATGGAAAATGTCAAGCCACGTAAGATCCCTGTTTCTGGAGCTGTCGCACCACTGGTAGTTCTATGTTCTTCTCCCTCCAGTTTCTGGATGTCAGTCACCGTTTCTTCATTCATCAGGGTTGTTCTTTCCGTCTTTCAAGTGCTTGATCCATCTAATGTCTGTTGATTTATGTTTGTTGGCCAATATTTCCATGCATTTGTTACAAGGCTTCAATGATTTTGGAAGATGTCCACTTGAGTTTTGTTTAAAATTTGATATTAGCTCTCACCCCCCAAATCATGTTTTCCATGGTACAAAAAAGCATCCATCCCATTTTTTCTGAAGCACCCTAAGAGATGCAGACAGTGCGAGAACTTACATGCAACCATCCAGTAATGACAGAGACATGTTTGAAAGTATTTTGTTTAGAATAAACCTGTGCATATATGAACTGGAACCCTAGTAGCAATATATTTTGACTTATCTTTGTAAGTAAAAATGTTCTAATGACTAGATTCATCAAAAAATAGAGTGGGTGTTCTCTTAACTAGAAGAGTTTTCTAATACTAGAGATATTCAAGTGGCGTCTAAGTAACCACTTAATGTTGGGGTTCTGAGTGTTCTGAGTGTTCAGATAGGGTGAAATTGGGGTAGGTAACTTCTGGGATCTCCAGGCCTGAATTGTAGAGTTTTGAGTCCTTGTGTCATGTAAGTCAAATGGACTGTTAAACACTTCAAGTGCACGTCTCTGGGTGTCAATGTGGCTATTTGCCATGCTTACAATTTTATGTGCCACATATTGCAAAACCATGCAGCATTTTCCTGGGAAAAATATCCTTCCGTCTGGTACTAGTTTGAAGAATGATTATCTAAATTATCAGGCATCATGAACACCAAGCAAGGTTGGACTGAAGTCAGATGTAACATAATTAGTAGCAATTTATTTTCAGCCATGTTTATGTATCAAGTGATTACCAGATACAAGAAGACAGGAGATTTTAACTCTAGATCTTCCCAAGGATAATTCCGCTGAGGCAGAGGTCAGACATGCCTTTATCCTTCTTTATCCTATTCTCACTCCAACCGTCCTCACACCGCACTTAGCTTCTCTGCTGAGTTCAAGAATTCTTGCAGTGGTCACCCAGAACTCATAGGCAATACTCACAATTATGGGGCTTCACCAGGAATTTACCAGGTTACCACAAGGCAGGATCAGAGAGCATTACCAGAATACAGTCCTTTTGTTTGCAGGGGCACCTCTTCATAGTCATGCAAGCAGACATGCCGCTCTTTGGTCCTCATCCTCTCAGCCTTTGCCCTGCTTGGGCCTGTGCTAAAAAGGTCCTCTAGTGCTACAAGTAGGGGTTACCCCTGGTAGTGTAGTGGTTATGCATCTGGTTGTGATCTTGAAGCTCAGCAGTTCAAAACCACCAGGCGCTGCTCTAGAGAAAGATGGTGCCTTTGAGCTGGTTCTGATTTTCTAGTCCTATAGAGCATTACAGTCTAGGAAATTCACAGGGGCAGTTCTACCCCGGCCTCTAAGGGTCACTATGAGTCAGCATTGACTCCATGGCAGTGCGTCTGTTTCGGGGCGGTTTTTGAGCACTGTAAATGCCCAAAGGACTCCCCACTCTTCAAGCCATCCTCCTACTCAGATGCGTTCAGCTTTCGTTCTTCCATGGACCAGGAAACCCATCACTCAGGGTCTCAGTAACTACAGACTGCTGCCTCTGTGGCCTCTGCCTCTTCAGGCAGGGCACTTCACAAGCGTGCTGCTGGTGACTCTTCTTTCTTGTTAGTCCCAGGATTCCTCTTCCCGCTTCTGAGATAGCTCACTCATACCCATCAGAAGGGCAAAACTGACCAATCCCCAAATTAGAATCCCTCACACCTTATGTATATGCTCCCACCCATTCACTCGTGGGAGTTACAAAGACTGTGGAACAAACTATCCTCAGCAATTTCACTTCACTACAACTTTGGGTTTTTCCTTCTTTCCCATCGTTCATGACCTTTGGCTTTCTTTGTGGATGATGCTTTCGATGTCATCCCACAGCTCAGCTCATTTTCCATCAATAGTGTTCACAGCGCCAAATCTACTTTGGTAATGGTCTATAAATTCAGGTGGGACACTACTCAAGGTCATGTTTTGGCTCTCGTGGACTTTAATATTCTTCACCAGTAATAGTAATAGTAGTGGTAGTTGTTCTGACTCATAGCATCCCTGTGCGTAACAGAATGAAACACCACTTGGTCCTGCCCCATCCTCACCATTGTTATGTTTGAGCCCACTGTTGCAGCCACTGTGTCGGGCCATCTCACTGAGGGCCTTCTCCTTTTGGATGCCCCTCCATTGTAGCACCCTGATGTCCTTCTTCGAAGACTGGTATCTCTGGGTAAAATGTCCAAAGTATGAGACAGTGTCATCATTTTTGCCTTTAAGGAGGTTCTTCCTTAAAGATCTGTTTATTCTTTTGGCAGTCCATTGTACTTTCAATATTCTTCCCAACACCATAGTTCAAATGCATCTATTTTTCTTTGGTCTTCCTTATTCAATATCCAACTTTCATATGCATATGAGGCAATTGAAAAGACCATGGATTGGGTCAGACATACTTAGTCCTCAAAGTAATATCCTTGCTTTTCAACACTTTATCTTTTTTCAAAAGTTTTATGAGTATATAATTCATATGGCATACAAACCAATAGATAAGTCATCACCACAATCAGTTTTAGGACATTTTCTTCATTCTTGTACTAATTGTTATTAGTTCCCATTTCCCTCCAATCTTCCCTACCATATCCCCAGGGAACTATTTAACCACTAGTGTCTCCATAGATTTACCTGTCTTCGAGTTCATATACAGAAAAACATTTAATGAAAAAATAAAAACAAGCAATAACAAAGTAAAACAGATAAAAGCATCAATCAAAAAAAAAGCCACCAAATGTTAAAAACTAGAACATATTGAAACTGATTATTGGAGAGATCAAATGATAGGGTACTTCCTAACTGCATCTGCAACAATCCTCTTTCCAATGCATTTTGCATGAGAGCAAGGCTGTTCATAGTCCTGGTCTATGGTTAGGCAGAATTAAAGAGGTCTTGTGCAGCAGATTGACCTAATGCATTTCATCACTTGATCTCTTGACTGCTACTTCCATGAGCATTGATTGAGAATCCAGGTAAAGTGAAATGCTCGACAACTTCAACCTTTTCTCCATTTATGATGATGTGACCTGTTGATCCAGTTGTGAGAAATTTGATTTTCTATACATTGAGTTGTAATCCATACTGAATGGTCTTCAAGAGCAATTATATCAAGTCCTCGTCCCTTTCAGTAAGCAAAGATGTGTCACCTGTATATCGAAGGTTGTTAATAAGCCTTCCTCCAATCCTGATACTATGTTCTTCTTTGTTTAATCCAGCTTCTCTGATTGTTTATTCAGCATACAGATTGAATAAGTATGATGGGAAGATACATCATACTGAAGTATAATTTCATTTAAAAAAAAATCATTTTATTGGTGGCTCGTACAACTCAACACAATCCATATATCCATTGTGTCAAGCACATTTGTACATTTGTTGCCCTCATCACTCTCAAAACATTCACTTTCTGCTTGAGTCCTTGGTATCAGCTCCTGATTTTTCCCTCCCTCCCCACTCCCCTTCCCTCATGAACCCTTGATAATTTATAAATTATTATTATTTTGTCATATCTTATACTGTCTGACGTCTCCCTTCACCCATTTTTCTGTTTTCCATCCCCCAGGGAGGGGGTTATATGTAGATCCTTGTAATTGGTTCCCCCTTTCCACCCCACCCTCCCTCAACCCTCTAGGTATCACCACTCTCACCACTGGTCCTGAAGGGGTCATCTGTCCTAGATTCCCTGTGTTTCCAGTTCCTATCTGTACCAGTGTACACCCTCTG